CTTACTACATATACACACACACACACATATATAAGAATATATATATATATATATATATACATACATACATACATACATAAATATGCCGTGATTTGTACGACCCAAGATTAAGTTTCATTTTAGTTTGTTGTTGTTGCTCCATTACTAGGAATAAATATAAAGAAAATATAAGGACAAAAAATTTCAAAGTGTGGCATATGAATAAAGTTATATATAGATATATATGTATATGTATACGAGAAAATAACATCCTTGAGAATGATGGGAGTATATATTCTCTATAGTCAAGTTTGAAATTGATTTTGACGAGGCAAGTTAGTTTCTTATTTCAATAGATCTATTTTTATACAAATATTAAATTTTATTTATCATTAATAATATAAAGAAGTATTTAAGGGTCCAACGAGGCCCAAAATTATAATTTTTTTTTTTGTATTTGTAGACAAAAATAAGGAATCCCTTGGGTTTCCACCGCTTGGGAATCTTTATGGGTTTACCCAAAAACTAGAACAAAATCTAATGGCCCCTCATCTTCCCTTCTCTCGGGCCAACAAATGTAGCATATAGAATATATATACATACATACATACATATATATATATATATTCATATTGATAATAATAGCATGTCATACAAACAAAAGGGTATAAGTATATCATCAATACAATTCAATTATTGCAAACTTTCCATATATACAAACCATTTCCCCTCCCCCCCCCCCCCAGAAATGTTTCCCGATATATATTCGAGAGAAAAAGGAAGAGGAGTTATAAATCCTGCATAAAAAAACCTAATTATCAACAAGTACGGTGCCAAGTTTGTTCAGTTATCTTGATTCACTCCCATGATGGTGGTCATAGAGAGCCAGAATGCTCAAAGGTTCATGAGAGGCCTCAGAGCATACATCCATGATCGCATCACGATCCGGATGCCCAACACTTATGTGAATGCACTTGAGCATGCCCATACAACTGAAGGACTTGTTACGGCTCGACAACGATGAATCTCTCATTTTTGTACAAAGTAGCAACAACAAAAATAGAGGAGGATGCCCTACTGACCTTGACTCTCACTGCATCGAGAAGAGACCTCGCATTGTACATATCTTTTCCCCTCCCCCACCTCTCTGTAATCTCATCCAGTCTACCCAGTCTTGTCATCATTGTAAAAAAGATCACAGTGATTGCCCTTGCTTCGACTTAAACAACTCCTACTTCAAGTGCGAGAGCACTTATC